GTGAAGCAGGTTCCATTACTAAACAGAGTTGGGATCCAAATCCAGGCTATCAGGTTCCCCTTGTCCAGGAGCTGAACTACCCCAGCCATTACATTATTCTATAATTGGAACTCATTATCCACCTCCCTAAAAGAGATTATCAAAACTAATTCCATCATGAGTGCAGTTCTTTCAGATGATGGCTTTCAGGTATCACTGTTGCTCCTCAGTGGTGTTTCTGGTCCCCCCAGCACCATGTTTCTTGTGCCAGTAGATTTTGTCACCTGCTGTGGCTTCTTGTTGCAGTCATACCCCCTCATTCATTACAGATTTTAGCCCCTTACGTACTGTCTTTTTTCTCCTAGTGTTAATTATTTTTTCCAGTCTCACTGTCCACATAGATAATCCACATGATTATCATAATAATAATTTGGCCTCCTGAATTCCTTGACCTCCTACCTGCAATAATCCTTCATCTTATTTTAGATTTTTTTATTTATCAATAACTGAACCACCTCTCAGAGATCAAGTTCAAGCATCCCGTTCTCTGACTACCTCCATTTCTCTCTCCCCAGCTCATTTCCTCTACTTTCGAAATCCCAGTTGCGGTGCAGCCTTCGGGACTACGGCCCACTGACGCTAAATCCTTGTGTCCTTGTTTTTCTTATCTTAGATTTCGTGGTCTGTTATAACCATTCCTTTTTCACTTGTATTTTATCTTGAAAGCCATCACTCAACTACTTTGTACCTAAATTGCCAGATGAGGCGAGAAACACAACTGTTAAGACTAATTTCACTGAAATACTCATGACCATGAGTCTTCAGTGCTGCTTGCTATGTTAGTAATTCACTCTCCCACTTTCCTTCTGCTTTGAAAAACTGTCCCATTTCAGGTGATCCTGTTTATTATTTTACTAACAGAACAAAATGAACCAAAGAACTGTATACTTTCCTTTCAGCAAATCTAGAAACCTGAAAGAGCAATTTTAGTAGAATGGCTGAAACAGAAGCCAGCTTTCCAGGGACGAAAATGTGAATGGGTTTCAAAGAGATAGACATCATGGTGTTTTCCCAGATGTGACCCAGGAACATGGTTTCTGTTAAATGAATCTTGCCCTATACCAGGATTAGTGATTACATAATTTTGAGAAATACTGGAAACCATATGTAGTATATAGATGGAGAGAACGTTTCCATTTGCTGGCCTAGATTTTACTAAAGCATCAGTTTGCAAACTTTGACCTATTTCACAGTTCCCCAAAGGGTTTGCTGAAACACACATTACTGGGTACCACCTCTTCTTGAGGTTCTGATTTCATAGGTCTTGGATGGGTCCTGAAAGTTTGCATTTACAAGTTCTTAGGTGCCGTTGATGCTGCTGATCCAGGGAATTGGGAAATCCATTTTGCGAGCCGCTTCACTTAGGTACGACTTCACCTGCCAAGAGTGGCAGGTGTGGTTAGGATCTTGAGCAATATAGGGAATGGTGTGGAGCAGCACAGTGAGAAGTACGGGCTCAAAATTTGACCTGTCAGAGAGCAGGGACGGAACTGCAGCAGGTAGTACGGAGTCTCGAGTGATGCCTGCTGACTGCTGCCGCGAGGTGTGCCGCCAAGCCCTTCGTCTCTGCTCTGTAATACCTTGACGGATGAATGCCAGGACAGTTAACTGAGGGATCTGTCTTCGGCTCATTGCCTTTTTGTTTGTATGTTTATTATTCATTCACTATTTGTTTTTATTTTAAAAAGTTACATATGGTAGGGACACCTGGGTGGCTCAGTTGGTTAAGCATCCAACTTGATTTTGGCTTGAGCCGTGATCTTGTGATTTGTGAGTTCTGAGCCCCATTTCGTGAGACAGAGCTTGGGATTCTCTGTCTCCTCCTTTTTCTGCCCCTCCCTTTGCTTACGTGTGCTCTCTCTCTTTCTCTCTCTCAAAATAAATAAATGAACTTAAAAAAAAAAGTTGTATATAGGAATTTTTAGCATGCAAAGCCTAAATGTCATTAAGTGTCTTGAACTAATTGTGTCAGTTACGGTTAATAATTCTTTGGCTTTGGGCAAATAATTACCATGTCTCTTGTTTTCTCATTTGGGAGTTTTTAGGATAGAAGAATTAGAAACTTCCAGTCCTCCTGTTATAAATGTAATTGCAAAACCACAGAATCTTTCAAAATTACATTTTCAGAGAATCAGGTTTCTGACTAAGGAGAGTCCCATGTGGTTCTTCTTAAGTTGCTAACTAGTGGAGAAACTGGCCCTGTACAGGACTGACGGTATTTCTGGCAGGCAGTTGCATTACCATTGCTGGGTGTACTTCTTGGGCTTTGCCACGGAAGATTTTTATAATGAGATTGTGCCTTAGCCGAGGGCTCATGCGTGTCACCTGCACTACCTTAATGATGTCACAGTGTCTACTGAGCCCGGAGGAGGAGGCGACCACAAGAAGAATTGTTTTGAAGCATGCTTGGGGTATGGAGAGAGGAAAACGGGGAGTCCTTTCTCTGGTTCTTCTGTCTCCCTTCCTCATGTCACTGAACAGGGAAGCTTGAGAGTAGTGCTGCTTTTTATTCTCTGATTGCTCAAGGTTTTTTGGGCTTTTTGAAGCTAGATACCATGTGCTTTTCACAGTGTTAATTGGTTAATTTTTTAAATGATACAATTTTGGAAACTTGTGGACTGGTTTCTGATAGCTTTACTGAGGAATCATTAATTACAATAGCTTGTATGTATTCAGAGTGTATAATTTTGATGAGTTTTGTGAAACCATCATTATAGTAACAACATACTATACTAACAACACGGATGACAGCATTTTCATTATCCTGAAGAGTTTTTTGTGCCTGTTTGTAATGTTTGCACTGATCTGCTTTCTGTCACTATAGATAAATTTAGATTTTCTAAAAGTTAAATGAGGGGAATCCTACAGTATATACTTAGGATAGGGGATCTGACTTCTCAGCATGTAGTTGCTTGTATCAGTAGTTTATTCCCTTAAATTGCTGAAGAGTATCCTATTTGGATATTCCAAAATTGATCCAATCAACCTGTTGATAAACCATTTGGGTTGTTTTCACTTTGGAGTTACTATCAATAAAACTGCTGTGAACATTTGTGTACAAATCTGAGTGTAAACAGGTGTTTTTATTTTTGTTGGGTAAATACTTAGAAGGGATGGCGGGGTTATATGGTAGGTGTGTATTTAACTTTTAAGAGACTATAGACTATCTTCCAAAGTGGTTGTACCTTTTTTTTAAACCTTCTTGGGAGTTCCAGTTATTCCACATTGTTACTAACACATGATATCGTTCATCTTTTTATTTTGAGCCATTTAGTGGTATTTATGGGTGCCTATGTAGTGGATCTCAGTATCATTTTAATTTTCTACATGAATAGTGATACTGGGCATCTTTCATGAGGTGCCTGTTCAACTTGCCTGCCCACTCTTACTGGTTTTTTATAGTTGAGTTTTAAGAATTTTCAAATGTATTTTGAATTCAAGTTCTTTTACATTCTTACCACATTTTAGATCACAGAATCTTAACACATTTTGCAAATACTTTTTATCAGTTGGCTTCCCTTTTCATTTTTTAAGTCTTTGGAAGAGCAATAGTTGTTTTTTGGTTTTTTGTTTTTGGTTTTTTTTTTTTTTTTTTTTTTAATTTTATTTTTAATAATCTCTACACATGACATGGGACTCGGACTCACGACCCCAAGATAGAGTCATATGCTCTACTGACTGAGCCAGCAAGTTGCCCTGAAGAGCAAGTTTTATTTTTATTCATTTATTTTTAATTTATTTTTAATTTTTTATTAGAGAACGCACGCGCGCGAATATCTTAAGTATGCTCCATGCTCAGCACAGAGCCAGACGTGGGGCTCGATCCCAGACCCTGGGATCATGGCCTGAGCTGAAATCGAGTCAGACACTCAACCGCCTGAGCCACCCAGGCACCCCAAAAGAGTAGCTTTAAATTTTGAAGTCCATGTTACCGATTTTTTTTCCTTATGGTTGTCTGCTCTTTGTGTCCTATTTGAGTTCTGCATCATTTCATTTCTTTGATTTTTTTTTTCTAGAATGTTAAATATCTTAGATTCTTATTTTTTGGTCATTAGTGGGGAAAAGAGCGTGGGAGGTAATTACAAAGCTAGAGTTGTATCTGCTTTGTGTTTTTGTTATTATTTAAATTCAAATTGTTTATGATTCTAGTACTTTTTGTTTTGTTGATTTTTTTTTTTTTTTTTTTTTGAGTAACCTCTTCTCCCAACATGGAGCTCAAACTCACAACCCCCAGATCAAGAGTCACATGCTCTACCAACTGAGCCAGCCAAGTGCCCCTATTTTGGTTGATTTTTTTTTTTTTTTAATTTTTTTAATGTTTTATTTATTTCTAGGAGAGAGAGAGACAGTGTGAGCAGGGGAGGGTCAGAGAGAGAGGGAGTCACAGACTGAAACAGGCTCCAGGCTCTGAGCTGGCAGTCAGCACAGAGCCCGACGCGGGGCTCGAACCCACGAACCGCGAGATCATGACCTAAGCGAAAGTCGGACGCTTAACCGACTAAGCCACCCAGGCGCCCCTATTTTGGTTGATTTTTAAATTTGTCAAAGATCCATGAAATTGCTCCTGGTCTGATTCGTCTGTTTTATGGGGTGAGGGAACTGAGGTTTATAAAGGTTACACAGCTTTGCTCGTGGCTTACAGTTTATGATCATTCTAAGACCAAAAAGGCCTAGATCCATTCAAATCCCATTTCATTAATTGTTTCCCTGTGAGGTGTTTTTCTTTATGATGCTGTTGCTAAGATTTTACTGCGTACTGGAATATGTTAAAATAAATTTAGTTCATTCATTGCTTCTTCATTTCTATTTGTGGTAATATTCTCATTGAAAGCAGTGGTTTTAAGTAGGTTAGCTTTTTGAAAGAATAATAATTTTCCCTTAAAATTTCATTAAGTGAAGATGTTGAATTTAACATTTCTGTTTTTGTTTTTGTCTTTTTTTTTTTCCAATTCTTTCCAAAGGTCTGTAAACAGATTTGGCTAGGATTATTTGATGATAGATCTTCAGCAATTCCAGACTTCAGGGATCCACAAAAAGTGAAAGAGTTCCTACAAGAAAAGTATGAAAAGAAAAGATGGTGAGTGAATAGTTTGTATTTAGAACAAAGGCTCCCCAAATCACATTAATTCTGGGTACGATTAATCTGACATAAGGAAGGAAGAAAAGAAGGAAAGAAATAGGTGGTTATATAGGAAGTAAGGAAATAGGTGTGTAGGTAGATAGATACTCCTTATATTTTGGCATTTGATTGGATTTGGTTTTGAAAAGCCTTGACTTCTACTTAAGTCATCTGTGCCTAGCAGCAGCCCATTCCTTATTCCCAGGCCTCCTACCCTTTTTTGGAAAGCTAGGGATCCTTCCTTCTGATCTTTCTCTAGCCCTGCTAGCTTCTTAAGACATTCTAGTTTTTATACAGCCTTTTTCCTTAAAATCTTCATTCATTTTGCACATAATTATTTAGTATCTTTTATATACTAAGCAGTGTGCTAAAGTTCTTGTATAGTAATCCATCCACTTCATGCATTTCACAGTAGGTCTTTGCCCAAAATATTCTCACTTCTCACCCAAGAAATCATTTTACTCCCTGGTTAAGAAGAGAGCATTTATGCTCCCCTAACTAAATCCATCAGATGTTAATTTTTAAAAAGAAGTTAAAACAGGTTGGACTTATGGCTAGTACAGCCTTTTAAAAAGCAGAGCAAGGAACATGTCTGTAAAGCTACTGTTCATCTACTTTGGACTCTTCATGTTTAGCTGTAGAGCACAATTTAATTTAATTTTTTAAGACCCATTATTCAGTAGTGTGTATTTCCTTGTTGGGGGCTTAGGAAAATAAAGAAGAGAGTCACAATAGAGGGAATAGATAAGGAGGAAGTGAGTGGCTTAACCCAGGGAACCCTGAGGGTGTACTTGCTGTGGTTTATGGGTGAGATATCTCTGCCTTCATTCAGTGAGTACAGTAGAGAGAAGTAGCTTTAATTCCTTTGCTCTGTGTTCTCCAGAGGAGACTACTTCTTGCAAGGCAAGATCAGCTGTAACACGGGCTACATTAAGCAGCTCTAGGTACTTTAGGTATGAATGCAGATAAAGGCATGCTGGTAAGATTTTAGCTGAAGACCGAAGAAAATCTTTGAGGGTGGGGTGATAGTAGAAACATGGTGGCATAAATGATTTTCTTAAAATGAAGACTATAATTAACCTTCTGTCATTTCAGTTCTTGATTTCCGAGACCGTGTATCCTGTACTTAGACCTTTCTCCTTACATAGCTATAGCCTAATTTTTTATTTTCCCAACAGTTATACCAACTCAGCAAGTTAGTTTGACTAGAACATAGCTAAGATTTTACATAGTTTATCTTCAGCTAGCAAAAGAAAAGTGTGTATGAGTAAGAGTTGTTAGATTTAAAACCATGGATTTCCCCCTTGCATTTATAATGATGATGAGGAGGAGGATAAAATTATTAATTACAGCTATAACACAAATAACTGTAAGCCTCCCAATAATTACAATTTTTGTGTTTTTTTCTGTCCTGAGAAACAGGATAGTGATAACAAGAACAATAGAAACACAAATTTCAGTGCGGGGCATGTAGAGGGAGTGGCCAACACTCAGGTGGGCTGGGTCCTGTATATTTGAGACACTTCTGTGTGCCTGTGACATGTAATGAGAGAGCAGTGCGGTGGGTTTTTACCATGATACAAGCACTGTCCAAATGTAGTCTCCCTGAAAATCCTTACATCAGGCAACTGTATTTAAAACATTGAAGCTCTTGTCTTAGATATAAAGGGGTTTTGAAACTGTATGACCAGTTTTCAAACTCACTTCCTATGCAATAGGAGCTTAACTTCTTTACTTTTAGTCAGATGAATGTTTTGAACTAAATACGATTATCTGGTTTTATCCTTTGATAAGACTTCACTGTACTCAAAAATTGATACCATCAGTGAATATACCAAATTACGGGAAAGCAGTTGTATTGTTTGTCACTGTCATATAATAGATAATAGCTAACACTTGTGTAGTTAATACATGTGTACCAGGAACTGTTCCAAAGCACTTTGCAGATGTTAACTCAGTTTATACCTGTTGGCAACCATGTCTCCTTTTTATAGATGAAAAATTGGAGGCACAAAGGGTTGAAGTAGTTTGCTCTAGATTTCACAGCTACTTAGTGGTAGAGCTGGGATTTGAACTCTGTCTCTAGAACACATAGGTACTCCTTAACCGCTTTGTTTTCCCTATGTCCCCAAAGTGATATGGGAGTAGTGTTGGGGAGAAGGGTAGGATGAGATAAAACCCAGAAATTGAACAAAAACACATATGTGATCCTAGCCCTAGAGATTAGCATTGCCAGTGTTCGGGCATTATGTTCTTATTGCCTCTCTTTACTTTTCTTTATTCTCTTCCTCCTGTAAATCCTGTACTTACATGAACGAGATCAAACCTGAAAGACTCTAAAGTCTTAGGGACATCTTTCCCTGTCCAAACAGAATAGCTATGCAGTATTCTGTTAAAACAGATGTTAGCATAATCCCTTTGAATATTTCTCTCCTGATGAATGTTTGATATATGGCCAGTTTTATGAAATTTTAAAGAGTGTTCTGATAACCATGCATGTACATGTATCTGTGTACACCTATCCAGTTAATCCGTAAGGATAAGTTTCTGGAGGTTGTACTTCGGGACACAGCATACCTATTTATTTATTTTAGTGGGCAGTAACAAAATTTATGAAATTTATGCTCAGAGCAAATGTGAATGATATTTTAATTTGCATTTTTATTAGGTTACAAGTGTTTTCATTTCTGTGCCTCCATTTGTGAATTGTTTCTGCTTATTTAGAAATTGAGTTGTTGATCTTATTCTTCTAGATTTGTAGTGGACCTTTGTATTTTAGACTATTTAATGTAATAAATGTTTTCTCTTTCTTCTGCTCTCCTCCCAAATGTTATTCGTGATCTTATACTTTAGCTTTTAAAAATTAGAGTTTTAACTGTACATCATGATTAACTAACCGTAAGTCCTCTGTTGTCAAAAAACAGTTATTAATTTATCTTTTTATAAAAATTATAAGTAAGTAATTGAAACCAGTTTTGTGCTTAGTCTTTATTAGCCTTTCTGTGTACTTCAGTTAAGTGCAGTCTTAAGCTATCAATTCTAAGAGGGTTTTGAAATAAGATTACTGTCAAAATAGCCTTACAAAAAATTAGAGTTAAGTACAGTAGTCCCTATATTTTTCTCAGTTAACTGCCTGTTGAATTTTTCATATGTTTTAGGTATGTCCCTCCAGAACAAGCCAAAGTGGTGGCGTCAGTTCATGCGTCTATTTCAGGGTCGTCTGCCAGTAGCACGAGCAGCACGCCTGAGGTCAAACCACTGAAGTCTCTTTTAGGAGACTCAGCACCAGCACTGCACTTAAACAAGGGCACGCCTAGTCAGGTGCGTGGTCTCCGTCTTTGTAGAGGCTTCTACTTCAGGAGGATTGAGTATCACGGACCTGAAGAGTGCTTTGGGACAGTAGCGTTATGTCCTCATGGTAACATATGGTAACCTAGTGGTGTGGATAATACAGAGAGTCTTGGTTAAGTGGTTGGGGTGTGCATCTTTTTGCTCTTGCAAATTAGAGTCTCTTTGAATGCTCCCCAGGCTCGTTAAGGCACACAGACAGGATCGCTGTTAATAGCTACCTGTCCTATACCTGCATTTAGTGAAACAGGACTCTGTGGGGACCATCAGAGTTAGAATAGTATAGTCTCTTTGATGTACTTTTACAAGAAAGGATTTCTTAAGTAGTAGAATTTTTCCCCTGCCAGATCGTGAAGCATGTTCATCATTGAAACACAGGTGGCTTTGCATTACATACCTTACTTTATTATTATTATTTTTTTAACATTTTTTTTTTTAATGTTTTATTTATTTCTAGGAGAGAGAGAGAGACAGCATGAGCAGGGGAGGGTCAGAGAGAGAGGGAGTCACAGACTGAAACAGGCTCCAGGCTCTGAGCTGGCAGTCAGCACAGAGCCCGACGCGGGGCTCAAACCCATAAACCGCGAGATCATGACCTAAGCGAAAGTCAGATGCTTAACCGACTAAGCCACCCAGGCGCCCCAACATACCTTACTTTAAAAAACTAAACACTGAAGTCTTTAGTTGACTGAGCTGTGACCAGTTTGTCACTCTGGCTTGACAGCGTTTGTCCTACACAGGAATGGTTCTGAGGCACAGTATTGTTTGAATTAAAGTCCACCCTTTTTAATAATGCATACCAGGACATCTGGATAAAATTGTTCAGTTTTCACAAGAGGTTTGAGTCCAAGCTGAAGAGAAAGGTACTCTCCCCACATAGAAAGGATGTGTTCCTTGAAAGTCGTATCGCTCTCTTAGCAGTAAGTCTTGCTTGTGTTCTGAGGTGTAACAGCTGTTATAACACAGTATTTCTTTGTCTTTGACTCTGTATTTAAAACTGAGAGATAATTTGGAAATAGATGTTGAAAATTTGTGCCTTTCAAAAAATACCAAAGGATTCAAAACTACAAATAAAAGACTGTGTAATCTTTAAACTGTGTTTTAAGCATGGTGAATTGGAAATAGTGTTATAAACATGTGGCAGGTTTGACTGAAAGCCCTTTACAGTTAATGTGTGCTGTGCAGTCCCCTGTTGTAGGTCGCTCTCAAGGGCAGCAGCAGGAAAAGAAGCAGTTTGACCTTTTAAGTGATCTTGGCTCAGACATCTTTGCTGCCCCGGCACCTCAGTCAACGGCTACAGCCAATTTTGCTAACTTTGCACATTTCAACAGTCATGCAGGTAAGTAGTTGTCCTTGATGGCTTTTTGCCAGACACATATATTTAGCACCAGGAGACCTCCATTCTTCTGGAAACTTACATATCGGAAAATGTGTTCTGTTGAGGGTGTGGGCCCTCGTGGCTGTTGAGCTGTCATATGTAATCGTGTAGTCAGGGCTCTTTTAATCACAGAAGAGATTATACTCAATGTCACATACTGGCTGACCTCTTTCCAAAGAAAACTGGGAAAAGACTTTTCAATATTTTTTTACCCTTTTAATATGGAAAATTGCAGATATTCAGACATGACAAGATAATATAACCCTCATCTCTTCATTGCTCATGGCTAATCTGGTTTCATTTATCTTCTACTCATTTCCTCCTCTTACCGTGTTGTGAGGCAGTTCTGGACATAATAGTTTATTCTTAAGTATTTTATATTTCTAAAACAAGAACTTTGTTAAACATCACCATTGTAGTGATATGACTCCCTTAAATAATAGCAGTAACAATTATTCATTAGTCACTATTTAGACTTTCTATTCTAGTTATAGTTATACTGAGAGAGAGAGAGAGAGATGCACACACACACACACAGTTTATTCAAATCAGGTCTCAGTTGTGAAATATATCACTTATTCTGTGGGTGGGTACTTCCTCCATGCCACTTTTCTCATCTGCAATTTATTTGTTGAAGAAATCTGGTTATTTGTCTTGTGGAGTTTGTAGCACTCTGAATTTGTTGATTGCACCACTGTGGGGTCCCTTAACAGGTTTCTCTCGCCTCTGTGTTTTCTATAAATCGATAGTTGGATCTAGATGCGTGATCTGTCACAGGTTCTTTCTTGGAGGGAACAGGCCTGTCACTTAAGGTTTAAGAAGCACGTAGTAATACCAGTTGTTTCTGTTTCTATAATGTGAGCTCTTGGTGCTCAGTGTCTGGATCCATTATGCAGAATGTTGATATACTAAATTTATCATCCCTTCATTTATGAGCTGAAATATTTCTTCAAAAATCTTTGATTATCCAATGGTATGGTTAGTATAAGAAAGTTAATATGTGATTGATTCTGGCCAATCAGATATCAGAATGAGTTGATTCCCTACCATATTTTAATGATCTGTTTTTCCTTTTGTATGATTATGAATTCATAGATTTAACATTTGCTACGTCTCAAATCTGTTGTCATTATTATCTTTATTTTTTAAATGTTGATTTTTGAGAGAGCACAAGCGAGGGAGGGGCAGAGAGAGAGATACAAGGAGAGACGGAATCCGAAGCAGGCTCCAGGCTCCAGGCTCCCAGCTGTTAGCAGAGCCTGACTCAGGTCTTTTTTTTTTTTTTTTTTTTAATGTTTTATTTATTTCTAGGAGAGAGAGAGAGACAGCGTGAGCAGGGGAGGGTCAGAGAGAGAGGGTGTCACAGACTGAAACAGGCTCCAGGCTCTGAGCTGGCAGTCAGCACAGAGCCCGACACGGGGCTCGAACCCACGAACCGCGAGATCATGACCTAAGTGAAAGTCGGACGCTTAACCAACTAAGCCACCCAGGCGCCCCTCAGGTCTTAAATTCATGAGCTTGTCAGATCATGACCCGAGCTGAAGTTGGATGCTTAACTAACTGAGCCACTCAGGTGCCCCCATTATTATCTTTATTAATCCTTAAATTATCTCATCTTTAGAGTAGCAGTGTCTTTAGGTTGGCTGTAGAAGATATAACTTCTTTTTTACTCTCAGATTTAACATGTTTGTTACAAAGAGTTTAATGCAATTCACCAGAAATTAGAAATTATAATTTTATTTTGTGAATGAATATAAAAACCTTGCCGTTACATAGGTAATATTTAAAAATTATTATTTATGTAAAGATGTAGTCATTTGTGTCTCTAAATTTAATAGTAACTAATGATAATGGACAGAGATATGGCAGAATGTAGTGATAAAAATGGGAGTTAGAATGAGTCCTTATAGTTGTTTGTTTATGCTTCCTTCTACTTTTTTAGAAGGTCTGGTCTAAATGGTCTAAATGCCTACATTGTATTTATATCAGAGGCCTGTGTGAGATACCTTTCGGATGCCAGTAAGCTTTGATACGTAAGTCATAGAAAGTTTACCTATTACGCATTTGTCCGTGGTTGAGTAAGCATCAAACCAAATGTAGAGTACTAAAATTACGAATTGATTTAGGTCATTTCATAGCCATTTTATTTGATCATTTGAAACTTTGCTTTATATTTTTGAATGTATGTATGGGGTATTGGCTAACATTATTATTTCTTTGTCACTGATTTTCATAACTTTAATTATATGATCAAGAGAAACTCAAGACTTTCTGAAACATGTATTTTACTATTTAAGGAGCACAGCAGAAACCGGTACTTACAGAATTGATTTCCTTTTTGTATTTTAGAACTTATTGTACCTTTTACTCACCAGTGAGATTCTGATGCTGTCCCTTCTTTTTCTTTCAATTTGAGGACCTGGCTTATAGTTGGATCATAATGATATAAAGTATATCATATATATGTACATATACACACCCAAAATGTACTGTTTAAGATAGTTTGAAAAATTACAGAAAAGCTGCTCTTCAGCCACATTTCTTTCTAGCAAGCATTAAGGGAACTTTTTGTTTTAAATATTAGAGTACTTTCTAAGGGTGTAGTGTAGAAGAAAGTTATGGTATAATTTGTGTACATTTGTCTGTTGCGTGTGTTTGCTTTAAAAGGTAGGGTGTAGAGCGTCTCCATCTTAGCAGAGATTATGCTGAGAAGGGTAGGAATCAGGAAGCTTACGTTGTTGTGCCTGTGGTAGGTTTCCCTTCTCCTGTGGTAGCCGAGCAGCGAAGGGTCCTAGAAACCTGGAGAGGCTCTGCCCCCTTCCCCTTCCAGGTGGGCAGCCAGTCTCCTCGGAGCCCACAGGAGTCTCAGCTCTCTGGCCCCGCCATTGTGAGTGCTGGCAAAGGGATCAGTGAGTGTAGAGTGAACCTTCTGTAATTCATGAATAGTTTTCATTTATCTTTACACTTACTGAAAAATGATCTGAAATGATTGATAAGTAAGTACTAAGCGCTTTTGTAAGTTTTCAACTTACTTCAGGATCCCCTTGTGTGTTTTTTGTTTTCAAATGCAGTTTGTGAATAGTCACCCTTCTGGGAATTGATGCTATGCTCTTGCGGACTTGTTGGCCAAACGTGTTAATACAGGTCACTGCAGCCCCACGGACTGTGTCCCGTGATGGCGCGCGTCCCCTCAGTCACTCCCTTGGGATTCTCCTTGAAAATAATAGCCATTATTTTATTGTGGAATATGTTTAAAGCAAGGAAAAGAAAGAAACCTGTAATGTTATCAGATTGACAGAAGGAAGTAGATCTTAACAATGTTGTCTCTTTTCCACATGTGGTAGAAATGGGAGGAAAGACGCGTCTGTGAGGATATTGTTTGCTCGCCATGTCGATTAGGTCAGGTTGCCTAAGAGGAGTAGCTTTTACGAATGCACACGCAAATCAGCTTATTTTTAAAACTTCATTTGATTCAAGGAGAATAAAATATACACACAAACTGCAAGAGGAAGCTAATAGAGTTACTCATTTTTCCATTCTTTGTGTCTCCAGCCTTTGCAAGAGCCCTGAATCTTTATTTTTCCATGTATAGTTCACGAATACAAAGTCATTGACAGTGGAGTTCTCACCCTGAAATTTTCATGTTTTCTTAAAAAAAGTTTTTCAGGTGAAAATTTTCTCCTGTACAGATTGATATGACAAATGGAGCCTTTAATTTTAAATGATAATTATTCAGAAATTAGTTAGCATTATTTTATAGGGAAACCTGTTTTTGCAGATCATTTAATGGCTTAAAACCCAGAAGTCTTCACCCTTCATCTGAACATTGTGGCTGACATGGTATGTGAGGACCTGTATCAGTGGTGAGGTTATTACTATGTTCAGGAAAAGTCATCTTCTACGGAAATATTTGTGCAGTTAGAAACGTAATTAACCTACAGAATTTAATAGTTTTTTTTTGCTTGGTAATAAACATATCACAAACCTAGGAACTGTAAACTGTAACTGATTTTTGCCACGCCTTATACTAGGGATCTCAAACTTTTCATGGTCTTTGCAGCCAGTCATCACCAGTGAGTAGTATCCTGCAGTGTGGAAGGAGCCGTGTGCACAGGAGTGTGTCCCAGTCCCCTCTTGCCACATGGCCAGGCAGGCTAAGGATTACTAGACACATTGATTTTCTTTGAAGAGAAGCAAGAAATCTTGTTTATTTAATGTGAGATGTTGCCTTTTTAAATGTTGGGGTTGATGAAAAAGAATTTATGTGGGTGAAACAACAAAGTGTATTTGTTAGCTGAATTCATGGTGAAGGCGGTCAGTTTTGTCTCTGGTCCCTACGTTTATCTCCCTTTCTCAGGGGTACCTGTTTCTCACTGAAGGGGAAAGATCATTCCCAGCCAGATTCAGGCTGATTAACTTGATGCCTTAAATTCTAAACTGAGACTACTTCTTTGTACTTTTTTTTTTTTTTAATGTTTATTTATTTTTGAGAGTTAAGACAGAATGCAAGTGGTCGGGTCGGGGGGCAGAGAGAAAGGAAGATCAAGAATCCAAAACAGGCTCCAGGCTCCGAGCTGTCAGCACAGAGCCCGACGTGGGGCTCAAACTCACAGACTGTGAGATCATGACCTGAGCTGAAGTCGGACACCCAATTGACTGAACCACCCAGGCGCCCCAACCTGTTTTAAGTCTTAATGTACTTCATCATAAGCATTTTTGAACAGGACTACATCTTCTATCTTCTATGTGATTTTTTTCTTTTTTTTAAATGGCTGCATTATGTCCTTTGGTGTTTTATAATGTAAATGATCCCTTATTGCTGGCCATTTGAGTTTTAAATTTTTTTCATTATTTTAATGAAATTACTCATCATTTAGCTATTAGATGCAGCCATACTCATTTGCAAGATTATTTCTTTACGAAAACTTTTTGAAGTAGAATTGCCTGCAAAGGATTTAAAGTAGCTGACTTACTATGTTGATGGTATTTAATCTTTATCTTTTGGGCGTGCTTTTCATTCTTACCACTTAGCATTCTCTTTCCTACATACCAACCACTTCTTCTCATTGTAATCTCTATAAAAATCTTAATTCAGCGTCTGTTGTAGCCTTTAAAAAAAAAAAAACCTCTCAAATAGTTGTATTTAGTTACATATTTTAAGTTTAGGGAAGCCTAAAAATTTATTCTTAGGTTGATGACCAGTGGGAAATACCAGTTGGGCTTTTTCACTGAGTCTGAAATGCACTAATGTTACAAATTTTGCTATTGTCATCATTTCTCAAATTTTAATATGTATTAAAAATAGGCTTTTTTTTTTCTTAAGAGAGAGGGTGAACAGGGTAGTGGTAAAGGGAGAGGGAGAGAGAGAGAATCTTTCTAAAGCAGGCTCCATGTTTGACTTGGGAGACCCACTTGGGGCTTCTTCTCACAACTGTGAGATCATGACCTGAGCCGAAATCAGGAGTCAGATGCTTAACTGAGTCACCCAGGTGCCCCAAAATAGCAGGCTTCTAAGAGAATGTGAACATCTTCGATTTGGCAATCATGTCCTTATTAAACATTTAAGGTTTTATTTTTTCATTTTTATATGCCATGATGTGAGATAGTTGTAACTTAGAAATAGAAAACAAAAAGAATATTAATTAAATTTAACCTTCTTTGTATTATTATTTTAGATTCGCAAAGCTGATGAATCACTCACTACCATTTTAAATCTGAGTTTTCCAGAATGTAATCTATATCCTACATCTCAGTTTGCTTTACTGTAACTCATGTATTTAATACTCTTAGAGCTTCCTTAATAGAGTCACTTTTACAGTACTGTTCCTGAAATCAGTCAAAGGGTGTTGCGTACAGTTATTTCATTGTACAGAATGTCTTGGGAAATTTTTGGATACCCTTTAATAAATTGTTTGATATTGGGTTAATTCCGCACTGGCCCGATTTAAAATTGGATTTCTGAATGGATTCTCATTTAAGTGAGTTACGAGACAGAAACTTTTCATAAGATTCTTAAGTTCATTTGTCGTATTTTTCATTTATAATTTTCATATTCATTAACATATATATTGTTCCTTACCATTTACAGCTCAGAATTCTGCAAATGCAGATTTTGCAAACTTTGATGCATTTGGACAGTCTAGTGGTTCGAGTAATTTTGGAGGTTTCCCCACAGCGAGTCACTCTCCTTTTCAGCCCCAAACTACAGGTAGAGCTTCTTTGGCGTTGTGCTTAAATGTTTTCTTTGAGACACAAAACTCTCTAGATGCGGTTTGAAAAATTATTCTAAACTTAAATTCTGTAATTATTTGATTTAAAAATAGTTCTATCTTACAAAGCTCTGGGGAAACCTGAAATCTTTATTTTTTAATGTGTTCATCTGTTTTTTTGAACTCCTTGGTGTGTTGTCTAATTCATGGTGTCTGTTCTCTTCCTTTTCCTGCATATGAATCTTCCTTAAATTTCTTATGCACTGGAGCATTACAATACTAAAAATTTGTTAGGTTCACAGAACACATTGATTTAGGCTTTGAATACAGGAAGCTAATTGATTGCTTCCATAGAAATAAAAATATAAGTAATTTTCAGGGCAGCTAGCTTGAGAAAATAAGTACTGTAAGTCTGTTAGTCAAGACTAGATTATTTCACAGTCACTTTAATCAGACTTGGAAGTAGTTTTCTGTGCAGGAATTGGTCTTTAGACATTGAGTACTCTCCCGTGAACTAAGTATTGTTTCCAGAATGTTGTTGAACCCTTGTTTAGATCTTTGTCTGATTATTTTTCTTTCAACTTTTAACTCTGTGTATTGTCTTAAAGCCTTTTCTTTCAATTTTCTTTTTCTTTCTTCTTTAAATTCCATCATTTACATAATTTCTGGCTGTCCAGCATTTAGAATGCTTTCATCTAGCTGCAGTTTTGGTGAATTTACTTCAGCTTTTCCTCTCCAGGCTTCCAACAGTAAGTTGTGTTGTCAAGTAGGCATCTTTTTTACTAATTTATATGTTTTGTGCGGTTTCATGGATTTTTGAATTATAGAATGTTATTCATCTTTTAATAGTAATCATTCTGAAATTCTCACTTCTGTTTCTTCTTCACTGTTACTAAGCTCAGACTTAGAAAACACAATAGTATACAGTAAAAGAATTGATTTAATAATTCAGTTTTTAATAATTTGAAATAAATTTCATCATACAAATTTTGAAAGCTTAGTATTGTGTGCTTTGTTCCCCAGCTACTTGTAACAGACCATAGTCTTAAATACCAACACACATTACTTAGTTTTAATTGAAAAGAATTGGAGTTTAATTCTTGAAAGAAATTTTATCCATATTTATTTTAGAATGTCTGTAATATACTGACTGATGGGAAAGTCTTTGTGTTCTTTTTTAAAATAAGGCTGTATCCTTTCTGTTTTTAAAATATCTGTAACTGTGCTTTGCTGTTACTTTAATATGTAGCTATGTGTATATACTGTCTTGATTGCTGAAACTAATGTGTAGGTATAAAGAACTAATACCAACAGTGTAGCATACAATGAAATATTCTCGCTTTTGATAGTGTTTTAGGGATGTCTTTAATAAACAGAATAGTCTTCAGAAATTTAGGATATACAGTAGTGACCATTAGATGAATTATGATCTATAAATCCAAAAAGATTATATATTGTGTGCTATTATTTTTATTCCTTGACTTATATAATAGGGCATGATTTTACTGGTCCTGTATATATATTACAGTATTAAAGTATGTGGAATTAAATATTCGCTCTTTAAGTAAAATTACCTCTAGAGCACAAAGACCACTTTTTAAGAAATTGTAGATCAAAATAGTGCATCTCTACTCTGGGATTTGTTTCCACCAAGTCTCCATTGGAGCTGGAAGAGCTATAGTGTAAGATACTTTGCATCTTGCTGATAGAATCCGTTTAGGGAGAACTAGTAAAAGATCATACTCTGTGTGTGTGTGTGTGTGTGTGTGTGTGTGTGTGTGAATATTCTGTAAACTGAGTCTCAGACCCAGTAGCATGGAGTTACTCCGCTGTGAATTATAGTCTTCACTTCGGAGTAGTTAATTACACATAGAAACTTGTGACCCGACATGTTGCCAGGATCTTTGAAAATCTAGTTCCCCAAAATATAGTCCTAGTTAGATAGATGAATAAAGTTGAATACCGTTTGCCAGTTATTCATTGTAAGAATGTAAGATTGCTTATGGAACACTTAAGGAAGAAATGATCATATAATCTATCAAAGGATTTTGGGAAAAGTCTAGAAATTTCAAGTGTTCTGTTTATTCTGTTACAGGTGGAAGTGCTGGATCAGTAAATGCTAATTTTGCTCATTTTGATAACTTCCCCAAATCCTCCAGTGCTGATTTTGGAACGTTCAATACTTCCCAGAGTCATCAAACAGCATCAGCTGTTAGTAAAGTTTCAACGAACAAAGCTGGTCTACAGACTACAGACAAATATGCAGCACTTGCTAATTTAGACAATATCTTTAGTGCTGGGCAAGGTATTAAGCTTTACACAAAATAAATACAAATTTGTATATTACACAGTCCTCTAAGTTCGGTTGTATTTATTACAGTTTAAGGTTTTACGCTTTTCTTAGTTGTAAAGAAATTTTGTCTACACTAAATGTTCATGACCATTTGGCACATTTTTGATGTGAAATGATAATAGGTCTTTTGGAAGGCCTAGAAGACTAGAAACTATTTGTAAACTTCTAATTTTAAAGAAAATAATTGACCAAATTTAATTTTGTCTTAGAAGGCATGCGTCAGTGCTCTGAGGTGATAGAGGGCCAGCAAATCCTATGAGTAATGCTGCCTGAAGGGTTATTTGGTTGTTTTTAGAATTATTCATTTTGAACTATTTTTACTATTTATATTTTGGTATTTTAAAAAAAAACATTCATTTTACAGTATATTTTTATACCTGATTTTGACCTTAAAGCCAGTAGTTGGCCTCCCAGAATGCAGCATGTGGCGGGGAGCAGTAGTGATCCGCTTTGGGACTGGACCCTGCACCCTAATCTCTAACCGCTCTGTCACCCCTGTACGAGGGCACTCGTAGTATCAGGCCCAGGTGGGTGATCACATCACAGTCACGTAGAACAGTGCCTGGCACGTAAGTGCTGTGCAAATGTTTCCTCGTCCTACTGTCTCTAAGTTTTTTCATGGACAACCCTGGGAGAACGATACTATTAATGGATTGTTCACATTGGATGTGGCATTATATAAATTTAATGACTTGAAGGACACTTGAATGACACGTACCTGTTTTAGAGATGTTAATGTGACACTTTGAGAATTTGTTCTTTGTGCATAATTTAGACATTGGTACAGATTCTTAGTTTTGTTTTATTTTTTTTTTAATTTTTTTTTTAATTTTGAGAGAGAGAGTGTGCAGGCGGGGGAGGGGTAGAGAGACAGAGAGATAGAGACTCCCCTAAGCAGGCTCTGGATTGTCACTGTGGAGCCCAATGCAGGACGCAGGGCTCAGACTCACGAATGGTGAGATCATAACTGAAATCAACGGTTGGATGTTCAACCGACTCACCCACCCAGGCCCTCCCCGCCTTTGTTTTTATTACAGAAACTGTATCCTGTCTTTACCACAGTGGTATGTATAGCAACTAATCTTGTCTAACAGTTTGTAGATAGTTTATTAGATAAGACTACGGAATCCTGTCCATTTATTCGCTTAGCATTAAATTAGTTTTAAATTTACATGTGTTTTAGGGCACCTTGGTGTCTCAGTCGGTTGAACATCCCATCCCGACTCTTGATTGTGACTCTGGTCATGATCCCAGAGTCGTAGGATCCATGTGCAGCATGGACCCTGCTTGAGATTCTCTCCCTCCGCCCCCTCCCCCCCGTCCCTCTCCCCTGCTTGTGTGCTCTCTCTCTAAAATAAAAAAAAATTTTTTTAATTACATTTACATGTGTTTCATGGCACGTGTGGTTGATAAATTGAAAGCATAGCTAAGTTTTCGGTGTAATTGTTTGTGTTTGTTTGCAGGTGGTGATCAGGGGAGTGGTTTTGGGACCACAGGTAAACCTCCTGTTGGTTCTGTGGTTTCAGTTCCCAGTCAGTCAGGTGCGTCTTCAGACAAATATGCAGCCCTGGCAGAACTAGACAGCGTCTTCAGCTCTGCGGCCACATCCAGTAATGCGTACACTTCCACAAGTAATGCTAGCAGGTACCTTGTCCTTGTCTGTGTTCCTGCTTTGTGTCTTCTTTTTTTCTGTTTGTTTTTTAATTCAGCTCTGAATAATAATGTTGAATAATGGCAAGGGACATATTTTTTAAATTCTTGAGTATTTTTGTAAGTTTGTAGAAATGGAGTTTAATTTGCTAATTAAAATATGATCCTTGAGTGATTGCCACTTTATCTTCTTATTTAGTCAAAGGTTTTGTTACTTTTTTTCTTGAACACTAAAGTGCAGTTGAGAGTATGTACACGTCTCAGAATGGAGCGTTATATACAGATTTAATTATACTGAGCAGAGAATCCATTTAGCAAGTTACATACTTTTAAGGTACGTTTTCAGTCATGAAGACTAAACACTGGAAGTAACATGTAGCTTTAGTTGTAAATAAACATTTTTAGATATGTTTGCAAGAGAACCCAAGACCCAGTTCTATATGTCGTCAGTGTCCCACTGGTATCAAGGGATAGACGCATCCATTACTGTGCTCACATCTGTCTGGAATGAAGGGATTCTTGGCAGCAGGAAGTCTAACACATTTTGACAGCAGTAGATCTTTAAAAACACTTCTAATTGTGACTTCTTCATTTTGAAGTCAGGAAACAGACCCAGAAGTCTGCACTTAGCTGTGCAGGGTTTCATCCATCTGTTTGTTTTCTGGCCTGCAGATTGTCTCTTTCTTTTGTTACCGGAGGATTTCTTTTCCTTTAGCATCTTTTCTAGAGAATAGTGGGAGGATTGTAACACTAATGACTTGAATTCTCTAGCAGTTAATTTTCTCTATGTCAGATGGGAAAAATTGAATCCAAAGAACAGTTTAGAGTATTTATTATTTTTCTTTCATTACAATTGTCTATGTTAGATAACATAGTGGTGACCGATAGCAAGGTAACCATAAAGTCTGGAAACACAGGCATTCATAACGAATGGTTTATTGATACATTACAGTATCTTAGTGGTCCACAGTGTGCCATGGGACATTTGGGGTACCTGGGGTGCTTTCAGGGGGTCTGTGAAGTTAAAACTCTGTTCACAATAATTCTGAGAGAGGTTATATGTGTTTTCAGTATTTGACATTTGTATTGGCACAAAACCAGTGGCAAGTGAAACTTTGGTAGCGACGTAGCACAGATTACGGCCATGACACCAGCAGTCCTAGTCATGTAATAGTCACTGTATTTCTTGTACCACATTCAGTTTCACTCATGAGTAGTCTTGATTTAGTGTTTCTTATGAGTATTCTTTTAATTTTTTTATTGAGGTATAATTGATATTTAACATTGATTTCAGGTATACAGTATAATGATTTGATATTTGTGTACACTGTGAAATGATCGTATTAAATGTAGTTCCTGTCCACATAGTAAATGTGAGGTAGTTTCCTCACACAAAGCTAACTTTTAGGATTTATCTCTTGATAACTTTGAAGTATGCACTACAATGTTATTGACAGTAGTCACCATGTTGTACATTACATCCCTGTGACTTACGTATATATTCTTACAAATATTCTTGATGAAACAGTAAAAAAACCTAACTTTATTAAATCTTTTTTTTGTTTATGTTTATTTATTTTTGAGAGAGAGACAGTCCGAATGCAGGTGGGGGAGGGGCAAAGAGAGAGGGAGTCACAGGCTCCAGAGTCCGAGCTGTCAGCACAGAGCCTGATGCGGGGCTCGAACTCACGAACCGTGAGATCATGACCTGAGCTGAAGTCAGATGCTTAACTGACTGTGCCACCCAGGCACCCCTTAACTTTATTAAATCATGACCCTTAAATAACGTCTTCTGAACTTGCGGTGTATTCAGGTAAGGTGTGCATCAGGTAATTCTGATACATATTGAAGTATGGTAGGTAGCTTCAGGAAAATCAGCTTGTGTGATTGAGCTGTGGAATGAGCAGCCACTTGTTTTCTGGAACCTTGTTTCTCCATATGACTGATAAAATCATGGTTATTCAGATTTGGATATTTGGCAGACATTTTCTCAAAAATGTAATAATTGAGGTCTGTCACTTTAAGGAAAATAACTGATACAATTCACACTTTCAAAGCAAATATTGGGATTTTGGAAAATTTATTGACTCCATCATGAATTTGACAGCTTTACATTACTTTTTGATAAGATGAGCAGTGATAGTTTTTGATTTTGTATAAGGAAATGGCCAACTTTTGGAAGATTTGTATCAGATATTTTCCAAATGATATAAAATGAATAGAAGATTCATTTAAAGTGAAGCATCGATTAGTAGATGTTACTACAGTAGAGCACAAAGGAGGTCATTGATATGATTTCAAATTCCATTTTGTAGCTTAACCTTTAGGAAATTATCACTGTCATTTTGGGTATGACACCAAGGAAAACATTCACAATTATCTGAAGAAGCTATTCAGATTATCCTAGTTTAGCTAGGTGTCTATGAGAGCAGTTTTTTCCATTCACTTTAACATAACATACTACAACAGATTGATCTTCTGTTAAGCCCAGCCATTGAAGGGATTTGCAAAAATATTATTGTGACTCTTAAGTTCCTTTGGTTTTTGGAAAATACAGTTCTTTATCCTAAAAATGCTACTTATGTTAGCGTGTAATGGCTCTATGGTTAATTTTTAAAGTATGAGATTTTTTTTAAATTTCCATTTTAATTTCTGTACTATACGTATTGTTAATATAACATATTTAAACAAAGACTTTTCAGAGTTTTCAGTAACGTTTCAGGGTGTAAACAAGTTCTGGAACGCCTGGCTGGCTCAGTCAGTAGAGCACACGGTTCTTGATCTCAGTCCTTAGTTCAAGCCCCATGTTGGATGTAGAGCCTAGTTTAAAAAAAAAAAAAAGTGAATGAGACAGGACTCAGAAGTTTAAGAATGGCTGTGAGACATGATGTGTTCAGTATTACCGGTTCCACATTTTATGGCCACCCTATAGATTACCTTTGCTTTAAAAAATAAATAAAAAGAACTCTTTCTGCATTTATTTCAGCAATGTTTTTGGAACAGTGCCCGTGGGTGCTTCTGCACAGACACAGCCTGCTTCTTCAACTGTGCCTGCGCCGTTTGGAGGTACATGCTTCTGGCTATATACTGGATTTTCTAAAGAGCCTATGTATATTGTAGAGCATTTTCTTAGGGGTACTGGAAGGCAGGCGGAGCAACAATTTATTATCCAGAAGCTCTAGTTTTCTAGTCTTCATAAATGTATGAACAAATACTTTAAATGACTAAATATAAATATATTAGAATTTAATAACATTTTCTAATTTTTTAAAGCTACACCTTCCACAAATCCATTTGTTGCTGCTGCTGGTCCTTCTGTGGCATCTTCTACAAATCCATTTCAGACCAATGCCAGAGGAGCAACAGGTAAGAAATAAATATAGATGATAGAACAGAAAGCTTTGGAAAAGGTATTTATTGCAAAGACATCATGGGAAGAACATCAGAAAATAAAGCTCTTCTTTGTTACTGTAGTGAATGGGAAGTGGAATGAAGAGTTTGTCCATAAAGACATACACTAGCTGAAAGTTTCTAAAAGCCTGGACTTTAATAATTGTCAGGAACCCTAGAAGTTCTCTAGCGCACACCCCCCCCAGGTCCCTATTCCCTGCTTTCATTCTTGAGGTGAGGAAGCCCAGGTGTGGAGGTGATACCTGCAGCCACCTGTGACCAAGATGGGACTTTTGAACACAGTGATTCTGACTTACTTGGTGATCGGGTTTTGGAATTACTGGTTATTACTCACTCAGTCTTAATAGAAAAAACTTTGAGAAGTTTTCTTGTTTCTTATTTTCCTCTTCATGAGATGGCAAGGAATGAATGAGCTTTGTTTCGTGAGGCCTTAAAAATCACGTCTTTTCTAATGCTTATCTCTTTTACAGTGTTTGTGTTTTTTAAGTTATACAAACCTAAATTGATTTAGGGCATGTTATCCTAATATTTTCTCTTGATAGTTTTTTAATCCTCTTTATTCCTTCCCTTTTTTGTTTTTGGTTCATACTGCATATTTTTTTGTATTGTACCTCTTTGACTTTTGCCATATCATCCTGAATACCAGAACTATTTGCCAGTACCATGGAGCCTCAGCGCGTGTATGTGGTATTGCTCGATACCCCGTACATCTCAAGTTGGCCAGCCTTGTTTTTGTGTACGTGTCCCAGAAAATTGAGAACTAAAACTTTCAGCACATAACATATATTGGTGTGGAATGTGGAAAGAATAAGGTGCTTGCAACATAATTCGTGCCATGAGAATTGGCATTTACCAGTAAATCTCTGTCATAGGCAAGATTAAGAATTGTGATATTAATGGAGTTTGAACTATAAACTTTCCTTTTAAATAAATGTCTTCAGTTACAATTTGTTGATATCTCTCTTGATAGATGTTCAATAAGTATTTTCACACATAATTTTTTTAAAATGGTTTGTTTTTGTTTTAATTCAAGTGTGCCTAATCAGTGATTATTTTAGTTTCTATGTGTTTCAGACAAAAATATTCATCAGTTATGACATATATGTAGTATTTCTATTTCTTAGCATATTATTTTGACTCGGTGGAATGAATTTGTAAAATGTCTCATGTCACATAGGGATTTGTGCATTGTCTCGTTTGATCCTCTTAACTCTCATCAAATAAATGTTTTTAATCCCTCTTTGACAGCTGAGGGAACTGAGGCTCAGAAAAGTTAAGTGTGAATACGTTTTGGGTACAGCCAGACTTCTGTTCAAACCTTGATTTAGTATTTACTTGCTAGGTGATCCCAAGATATTTTTTTATATATTAGTTGTGTAATGACTAAAGATGATAGAAAGATATACTAACATTTGTTGAGTGTTTAAAGTTATCAACAAGATACTGTTGCAGTGTTTATAGCTATTATAACCCCATTGGAAAGATGGAAATTCAAATTGCTTTGACTAAAACCTGTATTGATCTAACTTCTCTGAGCCCTATTTTCAGTCTTTTCTATAGAATGTGAATAATATTCTCCTGTTGGCAGGGTTTTTGTGAAAATTTAGATGGTACAAATCATCTTTGCATGGTCTTTGCATTATCCTATGTGCTAAATCTTTCTTGTTATTTTCCTTTCATGACTACCTTGAGGTTAATTTTGTCATTAGAAGTAAGGGCGTTTTTTGTTTTTTGTTTTTTTATGTAGAGTATGAAAGTCCTTTAAAGTTAAGGTTCTACATAGGATGTAGTTGTACATTAACATAAACATATAGTATATGTTCAGATAATATAAGGTAGTTTTAATATCAGGCTAAGAAAAATTTATTGAAAGATAAATCTATGTCCACAAATTTTTATTTCAAGGTTAAAAATAATTCTTTATAATAACCACTTTGATTTATCACATAGATTACCTTCATTAAATTGATACAGAATTGATGAAAAGTAAATGTTAACTACATAGATTTCCATTGAAGTTGAAATATGAACAACATTTTGACAAATATACTATGCTTAGGAATTTCCAGTGTTAAAATTAATCTTCTTGAGGATATGTTTTTTGTTGCTTTCAAATATATTGTTAAATTCCATTTGAAGTAGCTTTTGAAAGACGAATTGCATGATAAAATGTAAAACATTTTACTGATAACATTTCTTTCTTAGAATATATGTTTTAATAATTTTTCTTTTGCGTCTATAAAGCTTTGGGGCTTCAATTTTCTTCTGTCATCTTACATAGAAAGTTTCATTAGAATATTAGCCAGTATGGCCGAAAACCTCTTTTATTTTAGGATTCTGTAATAGCATTTTTTTAAAAACAGGGCTCTTGAGACCTAAAATTCTCTTATAACTCTTAAATCTCTCCTTTGCTGTGGAATGAAAAGTCTTTATTTCCCTAACTTCATTGTAATGAATGAATTATTTAAAAAAAAAAATTTTAGAGAGAGTGCAGGGAGAGGGGCCGAAGGAGAGAGAGACTCTTGAAGCAGACTCTACATGCAGCGCCAGAGCCCAGTGCAGGGCTTGATCCCACAACTCTGGGATCATGACCTGGGCCGAAATCAAGAGTCGGACACTCAACTGACTGAGCCAGGTGAATGAATGAATACAGATTTTAAAGATTTTTTTTTTTTTTTACCCCCAAGTAGAATAACTTAACAGAGATACAGAGCCGAAAGAATCACTGTAGCGTCTAGGCTAGTGTCCTTGTTTTAGACAAGGTATGATGGGTTTGCCTTAAAGGTTCAAAATTAATTAATGGCAACAATATTTGAACCTGGAACTCTTCTAAACTAGCACAATTTCCACTGGTTCCACTCCTTCCACTCATTAAGAATATACCCAAGAGAAGTTAAAATGTACATCCACATAGAAACTGGTGCACAGATGTTCCATTGCAGCATTATTAGTAATGGCCAAAAAGAGGAAACAACTCAAAATGTCCATCAACTGATGAATGGGGAAACTAAATGTGTTATAATCATACCATGGAATGGCTTGATAATAAAAAGTAGTGAAATACTGACAAAAAATAATGAAGCAAACATGCTACAACATTAGGCTAAAACAAAGGAAGCTAGTCACAAAACAATGTATAACATGTGATTCCATATATATGGTGGTAAATCCAGAGTGAGCATTTTAGCATTCCAGGACTAGAACTCGAGAGGGCATCATTGTTGCAGACTGAGGTTACAGCAATTAAAATGGGTTCACAGTCACTGTTGACTAAAGGTCAGTTTTTATTACAGTGTATTTTGTAGAGCATGTCTTTTGAGATGTTATCAAATGCTTCATGGAAAAGGGTTCTATGCCCAAATATATATATGGCAAATATTGGTATAAATAGTTTAACCCGTATTTTATTGTAGAACTCAAGGGACTTAGTGTGCTTTAAGAAAGGAGATAAGCAGAAAGGGACCTAACTTATTTACTATAGAATCCTTCCCCCTGAATTACCTCTTTATTTTTGAATTCATAACACAGTACTGGTATATATTTTAAAGTGATTAGCAAGTAAAATACATTCATTGAGTATCTACAGCACTTTTAAGAAATGTATTGTTAAACTTATTTTTACAGCAGCTTTGTAAAGTAGGTACTGTGATCCCTGTCCCTCTACCCGCTGTTTGCAGATGAGGAAACTGAAGCCTGTGGAGGTTGCATAATCTCCTGTAGTTAGAAGATGACAGAACCAAGACCCACAGCCACAGTCCTCTCTCTTGCTCTGTTTCCCCAAATTTAACTGGTGAAGCATGCTAACTTAAAATGCACAGACATGTGTTTTCTTTAGAAACAATTCCACTCCAGATGGTTGAAACAAATGAAAAGTTCTGTTTTCTGTTCATTACATTTATTTATATGTACCCTCTCTGGTCTCAGTTATGCCAGGTAAGGTTTGCATAACAAGATGCACTTTTCTCATCTCTCTTTTCAGCCAGTACATTTTCAACTGAAAGTTGCACTTACCTTTCTAATGTACTATCTTGAATACTTCTTCCCTTTCATAATACATAGTTTGTTTGAGTTACGTATTTTTAGTTAGTGTACAGAGTTGTAAATAAAACAAACTTCCAGGTGCTCTCTGCAAGATCAGACTTTTTCAGTTCAAAAGGTAGATTCTAGATCATTTTAGACGATACTGTGAATAGCATTTTGGGGTGTAATTCATGAGACCCACAAAGTCTTTTTATGGACATAGTTGTATCTTGACATGAAAAATATGTTAGAATTTATTTAAAAATGGATCTCAAAAATGTTTTTCATTTGATATTTATTTTTCTGGTATTTATTATTTCAATCTCCCTTTTACTTCAAACAGGTTAAATATTACAATGTCATGAATATAGTTGAAATTTTTAAAAACTTGGTGGATATGTTTTTATATGTATTCTTATACTACCCACTTTGTAACAGTGTATTCTAATTTTAAAACTTTTTAATGAAACAGATTTGTTTTGACAATAGCTAACCATAAGTTAATTGATACTGGTCTCTCTGTGGCTCTCCGTAAGGCCTTTCTGGAGCAATGCATTCTCAAGTGTTCCCTCACGCGCACTTTGGTAGGTGGCCACAGCTAAGTCCTAGATTTGTGTGGCAATTTGTCTACCTGCTTGTGGAAGCTTCTGCTAGTGTTCTGGATCCCTGCATGTGGAATTGAGTTTTTTTCCATGTTTTAAAATGGAGTGGGCATGGATGTGTGGCATCGGGGTTACATTATATCTAAAGTTACATGAAAACTGTAGTGATTTGTTTTTTAATGCTGAAAAGCATTATTGCTTACCTCCATGGTCACGTTAGAATGTTAATAGCTTTTTTGATTCTTTTTCTTGAGTTTGATTTCATAGTACTTTGACACCTTTTCGATACACAAAACCATTTTACCACGTTATTCCATGGAGTTTGGTTTTGCTTAACTGTATACAAGTTTCGCTTTTTAGTGCTTCCTTACGAGTAATTTGTCAAAGTCTGTCAGTGCGTTGTTGTCTGTTACGAAGCCCTTCTTGTTTCCCTTGCAGTGTGCTTACTATTCTTTAATTCAGTTGCTTCCTAGTGGCTTGTTTTTTCTTTTTTTCTCATCAATAGTAACTTCAAAAAATTTGGCATTCTAATTCGGTTGATTGAGAAAAAAATTGCCTTGTTATAAACAATAGGATTATGAAGATTACTTTGTGCAGTATCTATAATGTGACTTTCAGGGTTTTTTTAAAAATAAAATATAAATGTGTCTGACATTTTTAGTATTAATTCCTGTGCCTTAAATCTGAAGTCAGATTGGTAAATTTTTTTAAATCAGGGAATTCAGTGAATTACCATGTTTTTGATAGCATCATGCCAACAATATTTCACTATTGTAATTACTAGTATTCTGTATTAAAAGCACTGTTATTGGCTCTTCAGAAGGTTCTGTATTTAATCATCACTAGTAGTAAGTAATACACTATTTTCCTCCTTCCTGTGTTACTGTAATGCAAATGAGGTTATAAGTGATTTATAAGTGGGGGGTGGTGGCAGCCTCACCGCATTTGTACTGGTTGTTCACACGGATTTCAGTGCAGTATTGATCACGCTGCTCATTCTCCCTACATCCGTCTCTTCAAAGGACGCATATTTCATTTCCTTTTCAATCTTAATGCATTTTGCCCTGATTTCTGTAACTCAGCAGTCCTAACCTGAAACCCCTTGGCCAAGGCAGTCTGTCTATCTTCCAGACAAGAAATGGGTGTCCGTTTGTTTCTTTTAGAATTGATGTATTGGGAACTTCGCATATTCTTCTAATTTTGTTGGTAGTTTTATCAGGGAAATCCCTCCCCCTCCTGCCCTTTCTGGGCTTTGGTTACAAAGCTGCATAGATTTTGAGTGGCCTGCTTCTAACCCTATTTCTCCCATAAGTCTTGTTATTTTTAGTGAACTCCTTTTTAAGGGTCTAAAAAAATGATTTTTCAGAACATATTTGATTACATTATAGTAGACAGTTCAGTGGATAACATTAAATTTGGGGCCATTTCACTGTATACAGCAAATGAAGCTAAAAAAACGTATACTAGGACACATGTGAATTGCATGATGATGGGCTTTAAAAAGTTGACTGCTATTTAGACTTGAACTTTATATAATTATTTTGAGAAGTTTTCTTATTATTTCAAATGATAGATTCATTCTGTTCATTGGGTTTCAGGAGAACAAACTTTTATAGATTGTGTGAAATTGTATAGTGCTAAAGCTAACTGCTAACTTTGTTAGAGTTTTGGAATTTAAAATGCCTTTAATGTGCATCTTAATAGTTGTCAAGGTAAAGTATTCCGTAATGTGTGGTATGAGACACAAAGCCTGCTTTGTTGTATGGAAGTGATCGGCCCTTGTTTTCTCTGCCAGCCGCGACCTTTGGCACCGCGTCCATGAGCATGCCCACGGGGTTCGGGACTCCGGCGCCCTACAGTCTTCCCACCAGCTTCAGCGGCAGCTTCCAGCAGCCTGCCTTCCCGGCCCAGGCTGCTTTCCCCCAGCAGACGGCTTTTTCTCAACAGCCCAATGGTAAGCTGGACACCGGCCTAGCTGCGAGTCCGCCTCAGGTGTCCTTTCTGTATCTTAACGTTGTACGTTTGGACAAAAGGCCTGTCTAAAGAACGCCCTGGTATTGGCATTGCCTGCTAACGTTTACTACACAAGTATAGACACCTTTGGTGATTTGAGCTTTGGAAAACGGAGTGATTTGGTAAGGTTTTGTAACCAGGTTAGAGATTTCGGAGAAATCAGAGACTCTCTAAAGACTACTCTTCTTTCTCCTCTCCAGCGTCTGTCTTATTATTTTATCTTTGTATGTCCTCATGTTCCTCTTGATTTTAAAAGCCCTTGAGTGTTTTTGTTTTGCGTCGAAAACTATCGTGTGTGTCTTGTTTTGTATAAATTATTTATTTTGGTGACAGACCAAATTTCCAAAGAGGTAGCTGCATTGTGGTTAGAGTTTGTTACTTGTTTTCAGGAACTTTCACTAGAGACGAGACAATTTTTGTTGTTGTTTTTACCCATGAAGCTCTTTTGCTAAAGTTTGAAAGTCCATAGATTTGAAGATTATTCTTAAATTATAATTGTATATTTTCTTTTTGTTAAGTCAATTAAGTTTGGTCCGTGGCAGAGCCATAATGATAAAATATTCCCTAAGGAATACTGTGCTGTTCACACGAAGTCATTGTGTTGCACTCACAGCCCCTCTCTGATAGTCCGTCCCAGACTCATCAGTTAATTCCATCCTTTGAAATGCCAGCAGTTTACGTAGCTGAGAAAGATTAGAATTAACTATTGCTGAGGAGCTGTATGAAAGCTCTTTGAAGATGTGCCACAGGAAGTTCTGTCTCTGGTGTTTGAAAGAGCACAAGACTCAGCAGTTTAACATTGATTCCTTCCTATCGCTCTGGTGGGAATGCCTCTGAAACTCCTTGTGAACTTTTACAAGTATCAGATTGTCTCTTAAAGGCACGGCTTATAATTGGTGGTTCTGTTTTAACAAGGTGCAGGTTTTGCAGCATTTGGACAAACCAAGCCAGTGGTAACCCCTTTTGGTCAAGTTGCAGCTGCTGGAGTATCTAGTAATCCTTTTATGGTAAGTGAGATGCAGTTTTATGTACTTTTCTAAGTTGTGTATTATTTTCAGACCAGGAAAAGGCAGGATGTGACTCTGCTGGATGCTGTTACCCTATTGATGCCACATTATGAGATTTTACAGATTGAGGCAGCTGTCATGTACCATCCTTTTGTGATTTAAAAAACACCCATTAATCAGTTGCAGATCAAAGCACGGACAGCAAATAAGCCATTTTATAACATGAAACTTGTCTACTTTCTTGTCAAAATAGTATTTTATGAGTGGTTGTAAGTTTAGTGAACAGAATGAAAAGGGCTTGAAGTCAGAGATTTGGTTTGAATTATAAATGCATTTTCTTAAGGGCCAAGTCCTTTCTTGGGACTTGGGAGAATTATATTGAAATAATGGATGTTAGAGGCCATTACAGAATTCCTGACACCTGATAGTTGTATTATAGTATGTTGCTAATAATAATGAATAAATATAATTGCCAGTAATTACAAAAGAATTTCTAATGTAAATACTGTTTAATTAAACCAGATTTAGTCAAATAAAGTTCATTTTCCCGCATACACCACCCTTACATGTCTGTTTTGTCTTATGTTTTCCTTTAGACTGGTGCGCCGACAGGCCAGTTCCCAGCCGGAAGCTCGTCAACCAACCCTTTCTTATAGCCTTATAGAGAAGAGACACTTTACTGGAACGAACTTTTACGTGGTCACATTACATCTCTCCGCCTCTTGCACTGTTGTCTTGTTTCACTGATCTTAGCTTTAAACACAAGAGAAGTCTTTAAAAAGCCTGCATTGTGTATTAAACACCAGGTAATATGTGCGAAACAGAGGGCTCCGGTAACAACTTTTAACCTGTGAATTGGCAGAAAAAGGTAGCGGTATCATGTATATTAAAAATTGGCTAATATTAAGTTATTGCAGATACCACATTCATTATGCTGCAGTTCTGTACATATTTTTCTTAGAAATTAGCTATTTGTGCATATCAGTATTTGTAACTTTAACACATTGTTATGTGAGAAATGTTACTGGGAAAATAGATCAGCCACTTTTAAGGTGCTGTCATATATCTTGGAAGGAATGACCTAAAATCATTTTAACCATTGCTACTGGAAAGTTACAAAGTCAAAATTGGAAGGTTTTATTCATTCTTGAATTTTTCCTTTCTAAAGAGCTCTTCTATTTATCCATCCCTAAATCCTTAAACTTGTAGAGGGGATACCTGTCTGCATAATGAAGCTGATCATGTTTTTGCTACAGTTTGCAGGTGAAAAAAATAAATATTAGAAAATATGCTATCGTTTTTGTGTTCTTGCTGCAATGCCTTTACCAAAGTGGCCTTAAAATATGAGTAGTGAATTGAGAACATCTTGAATTCTTAAATTAGAATTTCAGAAGACTTCTAGTGACTTTTATGTCTAAAAGAGAAAATTTTATAAAAGGCCATGTAGAAAATTTATTAAAACTAATATGACTGCTATATTCAGGAATATGTCAGTGGTAAAGCATTTCAATGTAGCTTGTCAGATTCACCGTAATCCTTCTAATTTCTTTACAACTTCTTAATTTTGTGAAAATTTGTATATATGAAGAATTTGCATGTATGTGTATTTACAAATTTTTTTAAGTATCTTGAATTCTCAGACTGCGGAAGTCCTATTTTAACTATTGATTTTTAAACAAAAATACTGTCTTTGAATGTATTGGAAGCAGACATGCATTAACTGTGACATGATTGCACCTCAGTTTTTTTTTTTTTTCCTTTGGATAAACTGATATTATTAAAATAGGACATTTATTTATGTTCATTTCTGGGGGGAAACAAACTGGAACCCAGTGTTACCTTAAAGTTATAGAATACCTTGTTTAAAAAGGCATTGATACTAATGTTTAGTTGTATCTTTTGTTAATAGTCAAGACATGAACGTGTTTAAATATTTATGTACAGTGATGCCTCATTCATCAGGACGTAATCTAACAGTCTCATCAAAACTGAACCCAGCTGAGAAGCTTGGAATTTTAATTTTTATTAAATGCTTTTGAGCAATGCACATAAGCCACAGTCTCTATGTGTTAGAGCTCATGCATTTGTTTTTATGTGAAATTTTGATTATTTGATTTCCCAGCTCATAGCATACTAGCAATTCAGAAGTGATGGTTTGAAAGGAGATAGAAGAACCATGAACAACTGTCACCCATCTAGTGTAAGGATGGGCCAGCTAGGCCAGCCCCCATCTTCTGGCAGTAGTCTGTTACTAGGACTCTGTGTCATCAAGAAAAGGTAACATTACATATGCAGATATGTAATACATGTTTGAAAAGTTTCATCTTACAATGATTAAACATTTTTGGAAAAGCTTTGGTATTAACGGAAGTGAACATGAGTTTCTTCAGACATTTTATTTGTGTTAAATACCTTTTCTAGTGACTACATGAGTCATTGCGCTATCGTAAAGTCTGTGTAGTGTTTCAGACTTGTTAAGCGCTGCTGTCCCACGTGTCTGCAGTTCCGTGTGTGGTTGATGAGCAGGAAGACTGGGAAATCTCTGCCCCTTTTCGAACATTATGCCTCTAAGAATTGAGTGAGTGTGGCAGAGTCTAGGTGTGTGTGTGGGTGTATACTTGGAATACCTGCAGTTTGGGGGTATTCTCCCTCCAGCCCCCTTTTCATGGAGGGAATACTTAAGAAATGTCTTCGAATTTCTATGCTTTAGACTGTATTGGGTCCCAGTCAATTCATATGTACGAAGTCATGCTATATGACTGTAGGCCATTCCCGAAATAACCTACCAGGCTTTCCATCTGAGAAATAAGTAAATTAAACAGTTGTTATTAAAATAATTTTAAAGACTATTTTCTTTTCCTGGGTAAATCTTGAAGTTTGTAATTAAATGAGAACTCTCAATTATTGACTTACTACTTTAAATGAGGGCTTATAAAATCGAAATGCTTAGCTTAAAAAGTGATCTAGCTTTAACGTGGATTTAAATCCACTTCTGTTAGACTTTCATACTCAGGTTTGCTTTTGGTTTTCTGTAGACCATCTGAGTTGTGTTGAGCGCTGAAGAGAAAATCCTCGGAAGCCAGGAGGCTGGAGACCAAGTTTTCTGGCTTTACTGGTTCAGTCAGATCTCTCCTGTCTCTGCTCGGGAAAGAACATTTTCTTGTAGGGTGGTAGCCATTGTTGATACAGTGTAAAGGCATAATTTATTTTCAGTTTTGTGACCACAGAGATGAGGTAATCACTTTCTTCCTTGAAACCATTCCTTTTGTCAGTTTGAGGAAGCAAATCCTGTGCTCTGCCCCTGAGTTGCTCTTGCTGCCAGCACACACCTTCCATACAGGTCCTAGAAGTCGGAAAGTGGAGAGGAGGGCTTTCGGTTCAGTTCAGCCGTGTCGGTCTCAGGACCGCAACTCTTAAAAGTTTTCGATGCCCAAAGAGCCGTTGTTTCTATAGCTTGTACCTGTCAGAAATTACTGTATCAGAAATTAATGCGGAGGTACTTAAAAAACGTGTTTATTCATTTATAACAATAATAAACCCATTGCACGTTAACAAATGCCATTTTTTAATTAAAAAAAAATCATTGTCTTCCAACAACAGTTAATTAGAAGAACACCGTTTGATGTTTTGCATCTCTCTTTACTACCTGGCTTAAGCAACAGTGAGCTTCTCCCACCACTCTGGCTTTCCAGCTGTGGTGGCATCACATAGGACGTGGGCCCTGGGAAAGCCCCCTGCGCCCCTCTGAAGGCACGCGTGAAACAGACCTGTAACATCTTCATGTTGTGATGAAAATGGTTCTGACACTTGGCTTCTGGGGACTTTTCAGAAGTCCTCCAGCCATACTTGGAAGAGCACTGCCCTGCCCTTGCAGCGTCTCTAGGCATGCTGCTCCTTACTCTTCTAAGTGTTTTTCTCTGCGTGGTGGGGAGAATGGGAATTGGAGTTGAAACTGCAAACATTTTTAATACCATTTTCTGGACTTCCTCCCATTTTTATTTGAAATCGTTTTAATAATGATGAAATGGGTGAATATCTCCTCGAAGGACATTACTAGTTCAAATGTGAGGGTATGGATGTTTATTTTGGAATCATTTACAATTCTGACCACTTTGAAATTGTGTCATTGATTTGGGGGACTATCAAATAGCTATTTAAAATTTTTTTTAAATACTTGGTGGAGGAAAAGTTCAAAATGAATAGTTTCTTTTCTCTCATGTTTAAAGTTAACATTTTAGCTATAGTTAAAGAACTTTTTTTTAATGAAAAGTGGATTCCTCTCACTACCCTCCAGGAAGGCCGCGGTTACAATTAAAGGGATGTGTTTACTGCTTAAGAAAGAGGTTTGCGATGGTTTTCCCACCAATGCCTTTTTATACCTTGTTCAGTTTTAAAGAGAGCACTTTCTGTTGCTTCTCACTTGAACAAAATGTTTTGAAATTCTGTTGAAGTGACTTTCTGAAAGATGGTTTGCTGTAATTAGTCACCACCAACTCTGGCTGTGTGTCTGCTGTTGTCTGCATACTGTAAAACGTTCTTTTTTGAGAGAATACTCCATTTCCACCCCCAGGCGGGCCCTTGGCCTTGCTTCCTGGGCCTTCTTCACCCATATGTTTGTGTTCCTTCATAGAACTTGTGTGCAGAATGCCTCACCTCATCTTTGGCCTCCAATGACAGACTGACGTCTATCAGAAAATTAATCCCTAGGAGACTGTTGTGAAGAGGATCCGTTTTTTAAAAAGTAATGACTTCCAAATAATGTGTCATGGAGTGTGGTTTATTGAGCCCTTTCCACGTATGAGCCACTTGCCAAGTGCTGTTCATGTAGCACGCGATCCCGAAAGTGGGTGCGGGGAGCAGCGCACAGGGCGCGTTAAGCTGACAGCAGGGCTGGTGCTCTGGGGAGCGAGTGCTTCATTGCTGGATTGAAAGGCTGTCAGATTCGTGTGCAGGTAGCCTTTAAAAAGATTAAAAAAAAAAAAAAATTCCAAGAGCGTTCATTTCTATATCCCATATACCTTAATACAACTTACTTAATTTGGGTTCCGTTCAGAATTTGATGAAATCAGCATACTTTACAAATCTCTAGGCTTTTGAGTAAACTTTACAAGTAAATTAATGAGGTCATTAGTGGAGCTTGTTTTAAACTGAAGAGGCATCTGAAGGAGCAGAGCGATTCCTGTTTTATGAAGCATTCCAACGTGTATTGCTAAGGTTTGTGCCCTAGACAGTTTTAACATACTTTCTAAAGGATGCTGTTACTGAAATTTATGTAAGATTAGCCTGTTACGGTAAATTCATCCTCACTCGTTAAGGTTTTCTTTGTATTTTTAACACATTTTAATATATGACCAAGAATTGGCAGTACTGTGCTGGTGAGACCTCTTCCAGTCTCCTGAGCAAGTGCCCTGTTCTGCACTGTTGGCTGATACTTGTGGTGGAAATCGACTCACTGTGGCTGCCGCCACCTCTCCGTCTGATGGCACAGGCTTGGGCGTTAGATGGACACACGGCCGGCACCCAGGCCTTTGCAAGCCAGCTCCAGCCCAGCACTCCCAGTGCACAGCCCGCCCGGTAAATCCGCTGGTGATCGTGTCCAGTGTTGAGAGAGGCTTTGTTTTCTGTTGTGAACTCAGCAAGCGCACGGACACTCGCTTGCGTGTAGAAATGTTCGGGGCCCTGACGCATTTCATCTGGAAAGACCCCAGTATTGTGAACCCTGGTGTTAAAAGTCCAGTTACTGTGCAGTGGAGGGGCCTGCGCATCCATGGCGTGCACTCCGAATTCCGTCTGTGGTCTGTGTGACCGGCACAGTGTCCTAACAACTTGGACGTTGAGTAGTCTTAAAGGGCACGTGTTCTCCGGGCGGTCATTAGCCTGCTCCCCCCAATTTCCTTAGTCTCAAACGTGCAGATGGGTTTTAAGACCTTTAAAGTGGCAGATTCTATGTCTGTAAGAGGTGATCTTGCACCGCCTTGCTGTTCGGAATTTGGAGTCCTGTAGGATTTGAATTTGTGGTGTTCCTTTCCAATGAAGACTTTTGCCAACAGTGTGTTTCTTTTCTAACTTGTGGCCTCTATATTTTCTACTTATTTTATGCCCCGGGATCAGAATTCAACATGTATTTGAATGTATTTTTGAAACCTGTGCTCGTCCAACTCAAAGGGCTGTGGAGTTTAATGAAAAGAGAATGTTGTGACTCAGGCTTTTGTAAAAAGGAAACGTGATCTTGGATAAAACATTTAATTAAGCGATGAAAATGCCCGTATTTTCATTGGTTCTCTGGAATCTTGAGTACGTGTCATCCTGGCTACAGTGTAAGCAATGAGAGTTAAGATTTAAAGTCTAAATTCTCAACATTGTCCCTAAATCTTGAGTGGAGAGCTAGAAGAAGCACACACCCAAGGAGCCTTCTAATTTTGACTAAATGACCATGAAGTAAAAGGCAGCAAAGGATGTAAACTGATGCTGTATAGTCAATGTTTCGTAGAACGTTGTGGGTACAATCAGGTTTTTTAAAGACTTTAACTTGTTTTATATGTTATAGTACATGCTTATGATTTTTAAAAATTATGCAATATATATAAAGGGTATAAAGTGAAGAATTTACATCTCGTCTCCTTCCTCTGACTTCATTCCCACACCACAGGGGAATATCGTTTCTTGTATTCTTGTATAGTCTTTGAGAAATGTTATCATTTATTTCATATGCCTCTATTTACATATATACTCCTCGCTGTCCTCCCTTATTTTAAGTGTACAATTTTGTAACTTGGTTCTTTTTATTTAATTTGGTTATCTTTACATATTAGCACCTCCAGCTCTAACACATTATTTCAATGGCTTCAGGGTTTCATTATATGGATATCCCTTTTGAAGAGTATTTGTATAGATTTTTCTACTAAAAACATTATTAAATTGAGAATATCCTTGTGCATATATGAAGATACGTCTTGACTCTGCCTGACTGGAAACTCAATAAAACAGACCTCATTCAATTTTGAGGCTTGCCAGCTGTTTATTATCTTGTGCTTCCATTTAGGAAATTCTTCCATGGGGGGGGGGGGTGGTATCCTTTAGATTGTCTTCAGATATTTGAAAAATCGTATGCTTTTTAATTGAACTTTGAAGGTTGTCTTGCAGTCAGTTCTTTGAAAGGTTGTGCACGTTCATACCCATTTTGCACCTTAAGTTTTCCATTGTCCCTGCCCATGACTCCAAAAGTTTCTACAAGTGTGTTTTGGGGCTATTTTCTGTTACTACTTGTTGGTATTGTACCGTTCCTTATACATTGATTTCGAATATACTTTATATTTAAGGAGAAAAGATACAAGTTTACTATAGCAAAGCCTATTTTGGCACAACCGCATATTTATTCTTCAAAATGAGTACCCCTTTGCCTTAGAAAAGACTTAGGTAATAGCTGGCAGTTCTGATTCTTATTCCTCAAAAGGATAGAATCCAGAGAATTTCTTAACATGCATTTACCATTAGTCAAGACAGGATTTGCTTCCTGGAATTGTTTGTTTATGAGGAATGGTATCAGCTCTACTGACTGGTGGCCAAGGTGCCACAGCACCTTCAGGCTCAGCCTGGGGAGGGGAGAAGACTTTGTGAGAAGTCTGAAAGAAAGGAGACCCTTTTAGCCAGTCAGGCAAGTCTTGGAAGGTATGTTAATATGTCAACATTTATGAAGAGTGATGCAGGAGATGGTTTAAGTGTTGGATGAAAACACAGGCCGATTTCAGTATCCATCTCTAAAACCCTTTAGTAGATAAATTTGGTTAGTAAGTTTCTGTTCATTGTGAAACATTGTTGGAAGAAGTTTTTCAAAATAAAGACTCCTCAGTTTGTGTACCATTTGTGAGTAGCCTCTTTAATTGTTGCATAGTATGTATTTTCTGTAAAACAGCTCCTGCGTCTACGTCCAACTTAAATTTTTTCTATTAATTACACATTAATGTTTCTCACTTTTTTGTCTACACATTGGGAAATTTTTATGTTAGCTCACTTGTTTTTTAAGTTTACTTATTTTTGAGAGAGAGGGTGCTCAGGAGGGGCAGAGAGAGAAGGAGAGAAAGAGAATCCCAAGCAGGCCCTGCATTGTCAGCACAGAGCCAGATGTGGGGCTTGAACCCACAAACTGTGAGATCATGACTTGAGCCGAAATCAAGAGTCAGACGTTTAACTGACTGTGCCACTCGGATGCCCTGCAAAACATCTTTTTAAAAGCACTTGTTTTTAACAACTTTTTTCCCCCAATGACATTTTTTTCTTTGAGATACATGTTGATCTAGCTTGGTTTTAAGAGGTAGTTATTATAATTAGGTTTCACCTACTCTGTTACCTACAGAAATACAACAGTAAATCGTGAACTACTTCCCAGCTCTTTACACCCCAATCTTTATGGTAGTCATCACTATTATTTGTTTCGTATCCATCCTGACCATTCTATACATTTCTGTTGTTTAAATTGTTTTCATTAACCATCACCAGAACCCAGAAGAAAATCGGTATTTCCTTAGAATTGACACCACTATCCCTTCCCTTCCTCCTGGGGGAAAACCAATGTTTATTTTAGGCTCATTTAATGAGAAAAGATTAAAATTCTTTTTGTACTCCCCCCCCCCCCCCTTTTAATGGCATGCTAACAATCTTTACTGAACTTGATTTGGGATCTGCGAAAAGAAATCACCTAGAATCCTTTCCTGTGTTCAGTTCTTAGGTTCTGCCAGTAACTGGCATTTGGGCCTGTGATTTAGATCCTTCAGTTCCTCAACTTTAAAATGAGATCTCTTCCAAATGGTGAAGTAGGATTCCCCTCAGCCTTGAAATACATGGTTAAATTAGTAATTAACCTCGGGAATTGGAATTAAGTGTTTTGGGATAATAGCTGTTGAACTGGTGTTTTGGTAGATTCAAAATACCAGCTATCAGCATCATACAGTCTAATATTATGGCCACTATTTGTCAATTTTGTGACATGCATCTCATATAGTTGATCTCACTGGTCACAGCAACTGTTTTCTGGCAGTATTGGGAACCGAAAAGTGGACATTCAGGTGTTTACTTGGCCAAGGTTATAGTTAGTAAGTGGCAAGAATACAATTCTATCTGACTTTAAAATTCACCCTGTCTCCTATATTCATAACTTCATATTGAAGTTTCTGGTTCCAGCAGTTTTAATAAGAGAGTCAGTTTTTTAAAAACCCATTTCACAAACATTAATGTAAGTTAAAAAAAAAAAAAAGAAAAAAGAAAAGGGGCACCTGGGTGGCTTAGTTGGTTAAGCGTCCGACTTTCATCGCTTAGGTCATGATCTCGCAGTTCGTGGGTTCGGGCCCCGCGTCAGGCTCTGTGCTGACTGCCAGCTCAGAGCCTGGAGCCTGTTTCGGTGTCTGTGACTCCCTCTCTCTGACCCTCCCCTGCTCATGCTGTCTCTCTCTCTCTCTCCTAGATATAAATAAAAACATTTTTTTTTAAAATGAAACGAAAAGCCTTACCCAATTTTGGATTTTTTCCCTTCCATATTTGCTTCTTGCCCATAGCAAATGTTGCATTGTGATTAGATATTTTCCTACAACTATTTTCTTCCAAACTGGAAATACACTATTTTTTCTGCTTGTAAAAATAATACACCTATTGTAAAAAATCTGAAAATATAGAAAAAATTTTTAAAAAACCCTTTAATCTTGTGTAGATATATTGTAAGTACTTCTGGATTCCATTCCTTGTAGAAGTAAATAGAGACCTCTTCCAGAGTGGAATCATGCTATTTTATAATCTTTTCCTTAATGTATCATGGCTTTCTTTCAACTTCAAATATAGATCTACGTTCTGTGCCAATGATGTTTCATTATGTGGGGTTCTCATCTCTGTGGTGAACATTGAGATTGTTTCTAATTTTTCAACATTAGAAATTTTACCTACATTTTTACACACTTAGGATTGGCACCGTTTTCTTAGAAATGGAATTACTGAGGGAACAATGTGTATCTTGGTCATTTATCATTTTTCATAATGTTAAGCAAATATCTTGCTGTGTGTTATTTTTCATTTGTGTTAGTTTTTGGAATAATTTCTTACAAAATCACACTCATGGCTTAGAAGGATTAACATTTTATCCTCTCAACTAAATTGCTATTTAAAGGGGTTGATTTAATTTTTACAAATACCAAAAAGGCACGTGGTGCATTTTTACTTCCATATCCAGTTGCCGGAGGGAATTCTTTTTAATGATTGTTAATTTAGGGAATATGAAATAATGCCTCATCTTATTTTCCTTTTTTGATTACTGGGGAAGTTGATTTTCTTCGTGATATCCTAGCTGCATTTTTCTCATTTATGGATTGTTTTCAAAATTAATTTTAAAATATTAATTAGGTCACCTAAATTTATATTTTTATTCATCACATTATATATTTGGGGATTACAGAGGCACAGAGGAGAACCTTTCTCATGCTAATGATGTCATTTAATTTAGAATGAATAATCTCATCAGTAATGGGATTTCAAATTTATAACTGCTAAGGTTCCTTCTAGTTCCACAATTTTTTTTTTTTTTTTTAATCAGAGAAGAGGATTACTTCTTTAGATCCTCTAATTGAACTGGTCATCATTATTCAGGCTCACAAATGCATCTTTTCTCCCTTCCCTGCATTTGGTACATGCAGACATGGCTATTTTGGGGGTATATCAGTTTCACTATGATGTGGCTGGTGTAGATGTTTATTTTCTGCTTGGAATTTGATGGGCCTCGAGTTTAGATTACTGTTCTTACCAGTTCTGCAAGTTTCTCCATCATTCTGTCTTTAAATGTTACCTCTGCCATATGGTCTTCTGTAGTAACTTTTAAGGTTTAAGATTTTGAAAGAACTGAATAAAATTCTGTATAATCCTAGAAGAATTTTTAAACATTAAAATTGTTATGATTATAAATAACAATTCAGACTAGATTTCCATGAAATTATCACAGAAGAATGTTATGTATGTATAGAACACATTAGTTATGATTTTAGAACAATATAGTTCCTTTCAAGCCTTATTTTCAGTTAGCTATGAAACATACTTGAGTTACTCAGAGAAGTGAGGAGATACCACGTCTTCCAGAGAAATCCAACATCCTAAACTATGGGGATTTTAGAAGAGAGAAACTTCAAAATCCAGAGCCATTCAGAAACTTGCAGTGTTTTGACCTTCTTCTATTTAGACATGACACCTTCAAAATGCATAACAGTTTTGATTTTTTTAAAAATATTTTTTGGCGCCTGGGTGACTCAGTTGGTTAAGTGTCTGACTTCGGCTCAGGTCATGATCTCATGGTTCATGGGTTCGAGCCCTGCGTCGGGCTCTGTGCTCAGAGCCTTTCAGATTCTGTGTCTCTCTGACCCTCCCCTGCTTATGCTGTCTCTCTCTCAGAAATAAATAAAACATTAAAAAATGTTTTAAATAAATCATTTAAAAATATTTTTGAAGTTTAATTTGAGAGAGAGAGGCAGTGCGAGTTGGGGAGGACAAGGAGGTGGGGAGAGAGAGAGAAAGAGAACCAAGCAGGCTCAGTGCTGACAGCGCAGAGCCCAACACGGGGCTTGAACTTACAAAACCACAAGATCATGATCTGAGCCAAAACCAAGAGTCTGTCTGACACTTAACTACTAAGCCACTCAGATGCTCCAACAATTTTGATTTTTTAAGTGATGTTTGAGAATGAAAAGAAGCTATGCCTGATGACCTTGTCATAGTAGCTTCCGTTGAGTGTTACTTTGGTGCCACTTGGCTAATGATTTTTAAACATTGTTTTCTATAATCCTCACAAGCTTGTATGCAGGAACGACTTCCATTTTACCAGACAAAACAGGCTTAGAGATAGCAGTTTACTTGCTCAAGTAAAGTGAATGGCAGAATGGAGCTTTGAACCCAGCTCTGACTCAAAGCAGATGCTCAGAACCACTTCACCATGCCCAGAAGGAGCCCATCGTCTAGACCGCGGAGGGAAGAGGGAGCC